GCTCTGCTCTCCCCTCATCAATGCGCCGCCCGGACCCCTCCCCTCCCCTCAGCCCCGACCCCTCCCCTCAGCCCGACCCCTCCCTCAGCCCCGGACCCCTCCCCTCAGCCCCGACCCCTCCCCTCAGCCCCGACCCCTCCCCTCAGCCCCGACCCCTCCCCTCAGCCCCGACCCCTCCCCTCAGCCCCGACCCCTCCCCTCAGCCCCGACCCCTCCCCTCAGCCCCGACCCCTCCCCTCAGCCCGGACCCCTCCCCTCAGCCCCGACCCTCCCTCCCCTCAGCCCGACCCCTCCCCTCAGCCCCGACCCCTCCCCTCAGCCCCGACCCCTCCCCTCCCCCTCAGCCCGGACCCCTCCCCTCAGCCCCGACCCCTCCCCTCCCCCTCAGCCCGGACCCCTCCCCTCAGCCCCGACCCCTCCCCTCAGCCCGACCCCTCCCCTCAGCCCCGACCCCTCCCCTCAGCCCCGACCCCTCCCCTCAGCCCCGGACCCCTCCCTCAGCCCGGACCCCTCCCCTCCCTCAGCCCGGACTCCCCCCTCAGCCCGGACCCCTCCCCACCCTCCAACCCGGACTCCCCCTCCAGCCCAGACTCCCCCCACTCCCCCCTCCAGCCCGGGCTCTCCCCCCCACCAACTCCAGCCCGGACTCCCCCCTCCCCCACCGTTTACGGCAGATGATCACCGCCCCCGACAGCTGGTGACTGACGGACCGGATCGGGGCTAAACGTTAGTAACCGGAGAGAGACAGAGAGAGGGAGAGAGACAGAGAGAGGCAGAGAGAGAGAGACGGTAACCGGTGACCGACAATAACCGTCGCATTTCATTACAGCGCTGTACCCGATCGTTGAGACGTCTCAAAGCGCTTCACTGGATATATCCTCAAGTGTAGTGACTGTGTATTTTGTGGGCGAAACTCGTCACTGGGGGGGGGGTGGGGGGGGCAGGGAATCCTCCCCCTCAGCTCCTGTTAACCCTGTAGCCAAAGCGCTAACCGGGAGGGTGGTCCCAGCGGGACAGGCAGCGGGAAAGCTTGGCCAGACAGTGATATCAATGGCCAAGCTGTGCGGTTTTTACCCGGGTAGACTCCAGCCGTTACCCCCAACGCACACCCCGGGCTCCCCCCAAGCCTGGGCTCTCGCCGGTCTGCGCCTAATACTCTCCGGAATTAGGTGAACAGGAGGTGTCCCTCCAGAGAGAGAGAGAGGGAGAGAGAGAAAGAGAGAGAGGGCATTCCATTCCGACAGTCTATCTCTGGGATTTCTACGTGCAAGTGGGATGCCGGGAATTCTCAGCTCGGTTTGGAGAGTCTTAATAGTAATAATAATCCTTGGATTTAGAGACAGCAACTTATCACGTCATCGAGACGTCTGCAAGCGCTTCGCGGAATATACTGTAACGTGTAGTGACTGTTCAGCATGGCAATGGGTTTCTGCATGTGTCGGACCAAAGCATAACAATAATTGTAATCCTTCCATTTGATCCGACGTTCTATCACGTCTTCAAAGCTCTCCGCAGAACGTACTGAAGTGAATTGATCGTATATTTTCTGGGCGAATCGCGGCAGCCAATTGCGCACAGCAGCGTCCCCCGCAAACGGCCATGAATTGAGTGGCCAAATTATTATTTTTTTGGAGGGCGGAGGGTAGGGGAGAGTCGCCAGAAAGCGATCCACCAATCAACTAACAACCGGGTTCCTACTTACTCCCAGGTCCACAGAAGCGTGTGGCATTAAGGAAACTTGCCTCAGATTTTGCCAGCCCGGGAATCGAACCCAGGGTCCTCTCGTTTGCGAGGCGAGAGCGCTAACCACTACGCTGCAGGACTCCACAATGCACAGTGACTCCACTCTGCGGCAACAGTCCCTGTAGAGATGGAGAATGCTTTGGCCATTACTTGCGCTGTGTCAAAGCCCAGGGTTATTTATTATTATTAATAAGAAAGTAAAACAGGCAGCGCTGCTACAGCTCATCAGCGGTTTCTTTTTAACCACGTGAGAAATAGACCAATCCATCACTTGCACAGCCACTGGGCTCAGGAAACTATTCACACACATCCTCCCCTCAACATTACCCAACTTGGAGAAAGATTTTGAATTCAAAACAAGAGGCCATACAGCCCCACAAAATATACAGTCACTACACTTTATAGTATATTGTGTGAAGCGCTTTAAGACGTCTCAACGATGTGATAAGGTGTGTATCAAATGTGAGGTTTATTATCATTATTATTATATTATCTATATATTATCTACCACTAGTTTTGCTCACAAAATACACAGTCACTCCACTTTACAGTAGTACTACCACTAATAATAACCCTTGCATTTGATGCAGCATCTTATCACGTCGTCGAGAAGTCTCAAAGCCCTTCACAAAATATGCTATCAAGTGGAGTGACTGTGTATTTTGTGGGCGAAACGCGGCAGCCAATTGCGCACAGCAGCGTCCCCACATACACTCGTGGATTCAATGAACAATTTTTGATTTGGGGGCTTGTTGGCCAGGAGACTGGGAGAGAGAAGTCACTTCTCTTTTTGAATAAGCACTGCAGGATCTTTAATATTAGTCAACCTGAACAGGCAGATGGGACCTTGTTCATCCGAACGACGGCACAGTATATTACGTGAAGTGCTTGGAGACGTCTCGATGACGTGATAGGCGCTATGTCAAATGCAACAATTATTATTATCATCAGTACAACAGTGATGCCGGTTTCTCTGTTGGAAGCTCTCTCTCTCTCTCTCTCTCTAACTGAAGCTCCCTGCTCTTTCCCTGTACGTTTTTACAAATATAATAATAATAATCCTTACATTTGGTATAGCTCCTTTGACGGCAGCAGGACATCTTAAAATGCTTCACAGGAAATACCGTAAAGTGTAGTGACTGCCTGTTTTGTTGTATATTCCCTTTTCAAATACTTCCCGTGTGTGTGCCTGGTGCTGCATGTGTGCACATAGTGTGTGGAAATACAGCTTGTGTACCTCACATCATCTGTAGTGTACTGAGAGCATGTGTACAACAACTTGCATTTACACAGCACCCCTCACACAGGATAGCGTCCCAGAGCGCCGGGGAGAGGGTGAGGGTGACCGTAGGCACAGTCGAACACGAAGATCTTCAGGTGTGATGTGATGATGGGGAGGGAGGGGGCAAGGCAGAGGGATAGAGGGAGAGTGTTCCAGAGCATAGTGGCTGAAAGTGCGGCTACAGATTTGGAGCAGAGGGCACGAGGCACATGCAGGAGGCCAGAGCCAGTCGAGTGGAGGCAGCGGATAGTGGGTTAGGGGGTGAGCAGGTCGGAGAGGCAAGGAGGTCCCAGGGCATGAAGGGATTTGAAGAAGAGCATGAGGATCTTGAAATCGAGGAGTGTGTACACACAATATATACGCAGAGTGCGATCTGTGGGCTTTATCAACATAAATATATCCAAGCCATTACAGTGGTCATTTTGCATGTGGCTTAATTTAGTTAATGACCTAATTTGAAATGTAATGCACAGAAATGGCCGTGTCAGCGCCTGACATCGAGGGCTGTATATCACTGCTCATATTTACTCCAGAAAGTACAGTACAGTGGCAGCAAATGATGACTGTGAGCTCAAGGGCTGGTTAAGAGGCTTGAACCCACCACCTTCACACCCAGAGGCGAGAGCGCAAGCGACTGTCTGAATGAGGCCGGAAAATAAACAACAACAACAACTTGTATTTATATAGCGCCCTCCACTCTGGATGGCATCTCGGAGCCCTTCACAGTAACGGATCCTTGGGCCGAGCCGGTGGGGGGGAGGGGGAGGAAGGTGACCAAAGGCGCGGTCAAAAAGGTCTTCAGAAGGGACCTGAAAGTAGGACGAGAGGGGACGAGGTGAAGGGAGTGAGGAAGGAAGTTCCAGAGCCTTGGGGCATAGTGGCTGATGGCACGGCCGCCGAGGGTGGAGGGGAGGACTCAGTGGACAAGGAGGAGGCCAGACCCGGAGGGACGAAGGCAATGATATTAACAATATTATTAATAATAATCCTTGCATTTGACATAGCACCTTATCATGTGGTTGAGGCATCTCAAAGTGCTCACAAAATATATTGTAAAGTGAATTGTCTGTGGGCGAAACGCGGTAGCCAATTGCTCACAGCAGTGACCCACAAACAGTTATAGATTAAGTGACCAAAATTTATATATATTTTTGGGTGGGATTATTACCCTCAGAAAATGATCCGCCAATCGACTAACAACCGGGTTCCTACTTACTGCTGGGCAAACAGAGGCGTAGGGAGTAAGGAAACTTGACTAAGGTGTCGCCCTGCCCGGAAATTGAACCTGGGTCCTCTCGCTCGTGAGGTGAGCGCTCTAACCACTATACTAGGGGGATTCACTTCATGCCTTGAGGCATCGGAGCAATGTTGAGCAGTAGCGGGCTGACCCGACCTGAATGATAAATGACCCCTCATCTGACAACATGTCATTGGGCCCACAACCTCCAGATTGCCGCTGCACATTACTATCAGAATGCCCATCCCAGAGACACCTTTAATTCAAAATCAAAATCAATGCAGGGAATTCACAGAGCGTTTAAAACATCCACACATACACCGAGTCTGACAGCCCACAAACACTGTAGCTATCGCTGTCACCTAGTCATGAAACTATTTTGTTGGGTGGGGGAATCCAGAACGATGTGGGAATCATTCTAAAATTAATTGGAGTTGGGGCACAGATCAGCCATGATCTTCTAGAATGGTGGAACAGGCTCGAGGGGCTGAATGGCCTCCTCCTGTTTCAAATAGTTTTCTATATAAAGTTAGAGCTAGGCCATTTAGGAGTGAAAAAGAAACACGTTTCCCACACAAAGGGTAGTTAGTGGGAATCTGGAACTCTCTCCCCCAAAAGGCTGTGGATTATGGCTGGATCCATTCAGATTTTCAAGACTGAGGTCGATAGATGATTGTTAGGTCAGGCTATCGAGGGATATGGGGCAAAGGGCAGGCAATTGGAGATGATGTACAGATC